GCAATCGCGCCCCTGGCCACGGCGGCGGCCCTGGCCACCACGGACGGACAGGTGGCCGCGCACGGAAGCAGCATCGCCGCACTGCACAGCTCGGTCGGCCTTCGACGTGCTGGAGGGCGTGGTGGCCACGAAGAGCGCGGCGTGGACCTGAAGCTGTCCAACTACAGCACCACGGCGGCCATGAACGGCTCCATCGCCTCGGCCAACAACGCCACGCTGGCCACGGTGGCGGCCAACTACGGCCTCAAGACGGTGGTGGACCAGCACTCCCTAGACATATCACGCCGCTGGAGGTAGACACCAAGGTGGCCAACGCTCTCCTGGGGGCCGTCACCGCCGTGGCGCTGGCCTCCAAGCTCGCAAGTCGAGACGCCTCCATCTCGGGGCTGCACTCCAAGGCAGACGCCAGCGCCCTGACTGCTTACGCCCTGCTCTCGGAGGTGGACTCTAAGATAGCGGCGGCCCTCCTGGGCGCAGTCACCACAGCAGCCCTGGACGCCGCCCTCCTCGGCAAGGCGGACGCAAGCGCGCTCGCTGCTGGAGGTAGACACCAAGATAGCAAATGCCCTGCTGGGTCTCGCCACCGAGGCCTTCGTCGCAGCGCAGCTTGCTAGCCGCGACGCCAGCATCACGGCGCTCCAGGGGGCCAAGGCCGACGCGACGCTGCTGGCCTCGCACGCCACGAACGCCGCGCTCTCGGCCAGCGAGACCACGCTCCAGAGCGCCCTCGACGCAATCCTTGCGGAGCTCGCCGCCCTGCAGCTTTCCGGCAGCGGCGGAGTTGTTAACGCGCCGGCCTGGGCAGGCTTCACTACTTGGCTCGTTCGCGGAAGCAACGTCGTTCGCAACCTGCATCTGGAGGCTCCTCTCTCTGCTGCGCTGGCCAACGGCGACGACACGCTGAGCATCACGGCAGACTGCTACTCCATCGCAGCGGCGGACGCGGCCCTCGCGGCTGCGCTGCTGGCCTACTACACCTCCACCACCGAACAGGAGCGGCGCAGGACACGCAGACGCAGGCCGCCATCACAGCCGCGCTGCTGGCCTACTACACCTCGGTGCAGGTAGACGCCCTGTTGGGAGACTACCGCACGGCAAGCGCGCAGGACACGCAGACGCAGGCCGCCATCGCGGGCGCGCTGCTGGCCTACAGGACGGGCCCGGACCAGGACGTGTTCACAACCAACCAAATCACCTCGGCGCTGGTGGCGTACCGCTCGGCCGCAGACCAGGACACGGCAACGGCCTCGAGCATCGCAGCCGCGCTGCTCAGCCACTACACCATCGCACAAGTGGACGGTCTCCTTGCCGACAAGCTCGGCGTCACGGAGGCACCGCGGGCGCAGTGAGCGTGGACGGCTACACCCTGACCCTGGCGGTGAACCCCTGGAACATCGTACCTACAACTTGACGCCAGGCCGAGAGCTCCTCTTCGCCTGCCGGCACCGGCTCGGCACGGCCTCCAACTTCGTGGCGCACATGTCAGAGGCCGACAACGTCTTGGGTGACCAGGGTGCCTGGAGCACGGCCAAGATGTACTTCACAGTGCCTCCAAACAGAGTTGCCTGCTGCTGAAGCATGAGTTCCTCGACGGAGGGGCCGACGACGTCACGCTGGCCACCCTGGGCGAGGTGCTGCTGGAACCCACGCTCACCACATTAGGCAACTTCCTGGTGCGCTCCAACAGCCAGAGCTCCGTGGCCTCGGCCAGCTTTACAGTGGCAGGCTTCCAGCTGGAGGGCTATGCCATGACTCTGAGCGCCTTCGCGAACATTGTGCGCACCTACACCCTGACGCCGGGAGACGCTACTCCTTCGGCTGCCGGTACCGGCTGGGCACGGCCTCCAACTTGGTGATGTACGTCAGCGCGGCCGACAACGACTACGTGGGCGTCACCGGCACCTTCCTCGGCACGCCCGCGCAGGGTGTCTGGAGCACGGCGCGCCTGGACTTCTCGGTGCCGCCGGGCGGAGTCGCCAAGCTGCACTTCGGAGCTGCAGATCAGGGCCAGCGCCTTCGAGGGAGTTCATGCTGGTGGCCATCGATGCGCTAGGTGTTCCAAGCCCTGCACTTTGCCGGCCAACGTGTACTCCGACGACGGCTCCAAGTTCAAGAAAAAGTTCAAGGAGCTGATGGATTTCTGGGACATCGAGAAGCAGGTGACCAGGGGCCACGCCTACTTCGCGGAGCGCACCATCCGCACCATCAAGGAGGCCATGTTGCGTCGCATAGCAGCCGGAGCGGGCCGGCGGGGCCAGTGGCACCTTATGCTGGCTGACATCTTGAGCCAAATCAACGGAAGGAAGCACGCTACCACGCAGGTGGCGCCGAACCTCGCCTACTCTGACCCCGAAATGGCTGAGATTGCTCTACGCAACATCGAGCGCAGGGCCAAACACAAGGTGACCCGCCCGGAAATCAAGGTCGGGGATATGGCTCGGATCAGGGTTAAGCCGATCGAAAGCAGGGGCTCCTACAGGGTTGGCTTGGAGGGGTGGCCGGAAAAGGTGGTGCACAGCGATCTCCGAAAAGTCCCCGAAAACTCAGCTCCCGAAGCGCGGGGGCTTGGAGGTGCAGTCCCGCCAGCGGAGGCTACAGAGAGGCCCCAGGCTCCCACCTCCTTTTGGATGCTGTACATCTTGGAGCGCAGGCCGACGTACTCCAGGATCGTGGCGGGGAAGGTCTCGTCGCTGAGCTTGCCCAGCTGGCCCATCACCTCGACCTCGATGGCCTTGGCGCGAGCGCGCTCAGGTCCCTCTCGGGGTCCTTGGACTTGCCGGGCACGTCGAAGAGGGCGGCGCCGTTCAGGTTCGCCTCGGCCATGGTGTGGTCCTCGACTCTGCAGATGCCGAACGGTCGCTTCTGCGGAGAAGCCTCCGTCGCTCGATGAGAACAGGAACGAGTCCCCCAATTAACCGTGAACGACACAGCCGGCGGGAAGCAGCTCAGCCGCCGCGTCCAGCTTCTGCCGCTCCCGGCGCTGACCTTTGCTCCCCCGAAAAAAAAGGAGCGTTGCCGCGCGGGCGCAAAAAAAGAAAATCGCACATCCCGACGAGGCGCATTCCACAGACAAGGCCGCGAGGATTGGTCGTCGCCTTGTGGCCTTCAGCTCTCTTTTCCGGCCCTCGGGCTCCCGGTAGCGTGACGATCCCATGCGCCTTCATCCACTCGACCAGGCCGAGCAAGTTCGTCGCTTGCTTGATGTCCTTCGGATGGAGCGGTGGCATGCTCTGCCGGAAAGCGACGATCTGCTCGGTGGACGCAAACGCCTCCAGCGGTCCCGGGGCGATGGAGTGGTCCAGTGCATACCCCAGCATGGCTTGGCATGCCGCAGAACGCAGCCCACCTGACCGCCCTGGGCATGCTGTAGACCGGGAAGCTGCCCATGGAGCCGATAAGCCGCAAGCAGAGGCCCACTTTTTGCCAAGTTGGATTCGCGGTAGCGGGCCTCTGGCTGTTCGTCCAGCAACTCCAGGTGGTCTGAGAGAGTCAGGTTCCGCAGTGGCAACTGCCACGTGTCCTGCATGCCCAGCAGCTCCTTGACAAAGGGCATGTTGATGCGAGGCGCCGTGAGAACCACGTTGCCTGGTCCGAGGCCGATCCGGGCTCCGCCGGCTCCGCTGGCTCCGCAACGTTCCTATCAGGACGCGCGGATCATACGAAATCGTACGGACAAAACCCCCCTCCCGCCTGCCACCCTCACCCCGGGACGCAGCCCGGCATCGACGCTTCCCTCCGGTTGCGTGGCTCATGGTCCTGCCACGAAGCATCATGTGTAGTGCGACTTGCGCCTTGGCGGCGATCTCGCGGCGCTAGTCCCTCCCCGGCACTATCGAATTGTCTGAGCTTCAATCTGCGCCGGAAATGTCAACCGGCACGTGGTTGAGTGACAGCAAAAATATGCAAAACCTTCACATTCCGACGCCGGAGCCGCCCGCTGAACATCGCCCCGCCCAGGGAGATTCGTATGACCGTATGACCGTATGATCCGTACGATCCGTATGATCCGTATGATCCGTATGATCCGTATGATCCGTATGATCCGTATGATCCGTATGATCCGTATGACCCGGGCTGCCAGGCTTGCCGAGTCATACGGATCATACGGATCATACGGATCATACGGATCATACGGATCATACGGAGCCCGACCCCGGGGGTTCCAACCAGGTATCCTGCCTGGCATCGAAGCCTCGACACCTGCCTGGCACTGATGCCGAGAAACACGTAAAAACGGGCCCAGTTGGGCCCCCGCAGTGCAAGAAGACTGGGCGAGGACATTTGCTCTTCTCGGCAGCCACATTTCTTTTTTTGCACCGCGACAGGACCTTGAGCCGTCAGGTAGCTGCAAGCACGACTGGGTCGGGAACAAGTTCGAGCAGTGAAAAAAGTCTGCGACCAGGGTGGGGTAGGGGGTTGTGGGGCGCTGAACAAGCGCGGCGCTGAGCAAGTGCCTGTAGGTAGGCGCGCTGAATAAGCGCGGCACTGAGCAAGTGCCTGTAGGTAGGTGCGCTGAATAAGCGCGGCGCTGAGCAAGTGCCTGTAGGTAGGTGCGCTGAACAAGCGCGGCGCTGAGCAAGTGCTTGCCAGTAGGATCAACAAACGTGTTGATACTGGTTAGCCCAACGGCCCTTAGTACTGACTTGCCCAACTCGAACGGCCCCTTCGGAAGCGCCTCTCCGGAACGCAAGTGTTGCACCATGGAAATTGAGCCTCTAGAAAACAAAAGAACTTGCCTTGCAGGTCAACGTAGTTTCCAAAGCCTGTCAAAGTCGGAGTGGAAGGATACTTGAAAAAGAACGCATTCCTCGCGCCTGACGTCCCTGAGCGGCGTGCTTTGTCTTCTTGTCTTCCTGTGGGTCGGAACTAGCAACAGTGATGAATGGCGATTGCGCCAAGCCTTGGCGACAGAGCTGCTGTCAGGTTGAGATTTCCTCTTGCGTCCCTGCACCAAACAGATACAAAGAGATGCAACTCCACAAACATGGAAGAATTGCAATTCAGGCCTGCTCTGCAGTTAGCCGCGCGATCTCGACGCGAAGGCTCTCCACGGTCTGGTTGCCAATGTGGCTGGCTGCCTTGAACTCCGCCAGATCTGCGCCGAGTTTCTCATTCAGGGCCCGAAACGAAGCAACACTAGCGTGCAAATCCAGCTTCTCCTGCGACAGCTCTTTGTTCTGACGCTCCAACGTGCTGATTCTATCCCGAGCGCCAGCAAGTTCGGCGTTCATCCTGTCAAGAACTGCATCCTTGTGGGCCTGGGCGCAGCCGTAGGGAGGGGGGTGGCTGCACGAACAAGAACACGCTGAGCTGAGGCAGGAGCCTCCTGAACCTGCTTGGAGGCCCTCGCCTCCCTCCTGCCCTGGTGGCTGACGCCGCCTCTCCTGCCACAGGTGTGTGGACGAAAAGACGAACGAGTCGCCGCCTTGCCTGTGAGCGTGCCTTCCTCTCCAGCGCTCCTCATCACCTGGCCAAAGAACATCAAAACGGCGCAAAAGCAAGAGGAACATGTTTCCGAGCCTTGAGCATGATCATCCCCCCTCCAGTTGCCCTGACCTGTCAACGAGCAACTTTCGGACACGACGGGACGGCGAAAGTCCTCGGTGCCTGCGCCCCAATCCTCACCAAACCAACCTGGCAACGAGCAACTTTCGGACACGACGGAACGGCGAAAGTCCTCGGCGCCTGCGCTCCAATCCTCACCAAACCAACCTGGCAACGAGCAACTTTCGGACACGACGGAACGGCGAAAAAAAGTCCTCGGTGCCTGCGCCCCCACCTACGTCAGGACGCCATGGCCTCCAAAATTCGTCCTGGGCAAGAGGAAGAAAGCAGATACCCAAAAAAAAAAGGCGAAGGCCTCCGCACCATGATCTCCCATTGCGGGTCCGAGCCAGTACTGCTGCTGTTGCTGCTGCTGTTGCCGCTGTTGCTGCTGCTGTTGCTGATGCTGTCGAGTCCGAGCTGAGCCGCGGCGCTGCAATGAAAAGAAACGCAAATCCCTTTTGAGTAACAGAGCAGCGCCTCTCTCTTTAGAGGGGGTTTCCCAAATGGATTCTATTCTACCTGACAGGCTCCTAGCACTCGTCCGTTCAGGAAATGACCTCGTCCTGCGAAGGATTCGAAGTCTAAAACGCTGCGTGCAGGCGTGTGGCTGCAAAATAATGACCCCTAGATATGCTTGCAATTTGGCTCCAGGTTGCATTTCAAGCGAGCCAACCTTTGCAGGGCTAACAAAAAAATAAAAAAAGAGAAAACAAGGGGTCCCAAAAAAAGGGGTCCTCAAAAAAAAGGGAAAAGGGGTTTCCTTTGGCAAAGCTTGACATCGCTTGAAATGCAACCTGGATGCCAAATTGCGGCGCATATCTAGGGGTCATTATTTTGCAGCCACACGCCTGCACGCAGCGTTTTAGCCTTCGAATCCTTCGCAGGACGAGGTCATTTCCTGGACGGACGAGTGCTAGGAGCCTGTCAGGTAGAATAGAATCCATTTGGGAAACCCCCTCTAAAGAGAGAGGTTGGCCTGCTCTGCAAAGAAGCGTGCTGTGCAAAGAAGCGTGCTCTGCAAAGGAGCGTGCTCTGCAAAGGAGAGTACTCTGCAAAGAAGCGTGCTCTGCAAAGAAGAGTGCTCTGCAAAGAAGCGTGCTCTGCAAAGGAGCGTGTTTTGCAAAGGAGCGTGCTCTGCAAAGGAGAGTGCTCTGCAAAGGAGAGTGCTCTGCAAAGAAGCGTGCTCTGCAAAGGAGCGTGCTCTGCAAAGGAGCGTGCTCTGCAAAGGAGCGTGCTCTGCAAAGAAGCGTGCTTTGCAGAGGAGAGTGCTCTGCAAAGGAGAGTGCTCTGCAAAGAAGCGTGCTCTGCAAAGGAGCGTGCTCTGCAGAAGGAGAGTGCTCTGCAAAGAAGCGTGCTCTGCAAAGGAGCGTGCTCTGCAAAGGAGAGTGCTCTGCAAAGAAGCGTGCTCTGCAAAGGAGCGTGCTCTGCAGAGGAGCCTGCTCTGCAAAGGAGCGTGCTCTGCAAAGGAGCGTGCTCTGCAGAGGAGCGTGCTAGAGGAGCGTGCTCTGCAAAGAAGCGTGCTCTGCAAAGAAGCGTGCTCTGCAAAGAAGCGTGCTCTGCAAAGAAGCGTGCTCTGCAAAGAAGCGTGCTCTGCAAAGAAGCGTGCTCTGCAGAGGAGAGTGCTCTGTCTTCACCGCGCCCGAAGCTGACTCGTCCCCGCAAAGAAGTGTGCTCTGCAAAGGAGAGTGCTCTGCAGAGGAGAGTGCTCTGCAAAGAAGCGTGCTCTGCAGAGGAGAGTTCTCTGCAAAGGAGAGCGCTCTGCAAAGGAGAGTGCTCTGCAAAGAAGTGTGCTCTGCAGAGGAGAGTGCTCTGCAAAAGTTCTCTGCAAAGGAGAGTGCTCTGCAAAGGAGAGTGCTCTGCAAAGGAGAGTGCTCTGCAAAGGAGACTGCTCTGCCAAGAAGTGTGCTCTGCAAAGAAGCGTGCTCTGCAGAGGAGAGTACTCTGCAAAGGAGCGTGCTCTGCAAAGGAGCTCTGCAAAGGAGCGTGCCCTGCAAAGGAGCGTGCTCTGCAGAGGAGCGTGCTCTGCAAAGAAGCGTGCTCTGCAAAGAAGCGTGCTCTGCAAAGGAGCGTGCCCTGCAAAGGAGCGTGCTCTGCAGAAGCGTGCTCTGCAAAGGAGCGTGCTCTGCAAAGGAGCGTGCTCTGCAAAGGAGCGTGCTCTGCAAAGGAGAGTGCTCTGCAAAGGAGAGTGCTCTGCAAAGAAGCGTGCTCTGCAAAGAAGCGTGCTCTGCAAAGAAGCGTGCTCTGCAGAGGAGAGTGCTCTGCAAAGGAGCGCGCCACATCCCTGCCCGGCATAGAAGCCTCCACCGGAGCCTGTCAGGTAGAATAGAATCCATTTGGGAAACCCCCTCTAAAGAGAGAGCTGCACCGCCTGCCGCAGCGTCACGATGGGCGTTGCTGGGCCCCGCAAACCAGGAAACGAAAAATTTGCGAAACTGTCGTCTAAGCCGACAGTTTCGGCGAACCTGCCCGGCATCGGAGCCTCCCGGCCGCGCCACCTGCCCGGCATCGGAGCCCTGCCGAGCCCGCGCCAAGGTCGGAATTCTTCCCAGGAAAAAAAATTGTCGAGGTTGTCGTCTAAGCCGACAACTGTCTAAAGTTTCGGCGAACCTGCCCGGCATAGAAGCCCCCGGCCGCGCCACCTGCCTGGCATCGAAGCCTCCCGGCCGCGCCACCTGCCCGGCATCGGAGCCTCCCACCCGGCCGCTTCGAAAGCACAAGTGCCACTTGTGCTTTCGAGCATCACATTCCTGCCCGGCATCGGAGCCGCGCCAGCCCGCCGACGTGGAGGCTTCGATACCGAGCGCGCCGCTCGAAAACAAAAGTGGCACTTATGTTTTCGAAGTGGGTTCGTTTCAATGCGTTCCACCACCCGGCCGCACCACCTGCCCGGCCTCGCTCCAAGACCGAAGCCGCGGAGCCGGCCTCGCTCCAAGACCGAAGCCGCGGAGCCGGCCTCGCTTTCTGTGTCACGATTTGACCGGCGCCATCGGTCAAATCATTTCGGCGAAAACATATGTAAACATGTTTGAAGGACCTGTCACGGGCAACATCCGGAGGTCCTGGACAACGGAGAGGTAACTGACGGCACGCACGTCACCGCAGGGCAGCTGGCCCTCGCTCTGACGCCCTACGCGCAAGTAACAGACCTGGCGGTGAACACGGCAGCCTCCGGCAACAACGCGGCAGTCCTGTAGTCCTGCGCACTCGCCGTGCGGTAGTCTCCCAACAGGGCGTCCACTTGTGAGGACGTGTAGTAGGCCAGCAGCGCGGCCGAAATGGCACCGCTAGTCTCCGCGTCCTACGCCGTGCCCGTCCGGTAGTCTCCCAACAGGGCGTCCACTTGTGAGGAGGTGTAGTAGGCCAGCAGCGCAGCCGCGAGTGCCGCGTCCGCCGCTGCGACGGAGTAACAGTCTGCCGTGATGCTCAGCGTGTCGTCGCCGTTGGCCAGCGCAGCAGAGAGAGGAGCCTCCAGATGCAGGTTGCGAACGACGTTGCTTCCGCGAACGAGCTCCCAAGTTGTGAAGCCCGCCCAGGCCGGCGCGTTAACAACTCCGCTGCCGGAAAGGTGCAGGGCGGCGAGCTCCGCGAGGATTGCGTCGAGGGCGCTGTGGAGCGTGGTCTCGCTGGCTGAGAGCGCGGCGTTCGTGGCGTACGAGGCCAGCAGCGTCGCGTCGGCCTTGGCCCCCTGGAGCGCCGTGATGCTGGCGTCCCGGCTAGCAAGCTGCGCTGCGACGAAGGCCTCGGTGAGACCCAGCAGGGCATTTGCTATCTTGGTGTCTACCTCCAGCGGCGTGTCCAACCCGTCCACCGTGGAGAGCAGGGAGGCCAGCGCGCTGGCGTCCGCCTTGCCGAGGAGGGCGGCGTCCAGGGCTGCCGCGGTGACTGCGCCCAAGAGGGCTGCCGCTATCTTAGAGTCCACCTCCGAGAGCAGGGCGTACGCTGTCAGGGCGCTGGCGTCTGCCTTGGAGGCCTGCAGCCCCGAGATGGAGGCGTCTCGACTTGCGAGCTTGGAGCCGTTCAGATCCACGCCGTGTGCTCTTCGTTGGCACCACGCCCTCCAGCACGTCGAAGGCCGACTGGTCTGCCTTGTTGGAGAGACCCGTGGTCAGCGAGCTCTGCAGCGCTGCGATGCTGCTTCCATGCGCGGCCACCTGCCCGTCCGTGGTGGCCAGGGCCGCCGCCGTGGCCAGGGGCGCAATTGCCGGCGCCAGCGCGCTGCTGTCCAGCTTGGAGGCCAGCTCTGCGGTGACCCGGTCGTCCAGCGACTGGATGGCTGCCCGGACCAGGACGTGTTCACAACCAACCAAATCACCTCGGCGCTGCGGTGGCGTGACCGGACACGGCGACGGCCTCAAGCATCGCCGCCGCCCTGCTCAGCTACTACACCATCGCACAGGTGGACGGCCTCCTTGCCGGCAAGCTCGGAGTCACGGAGGCAGCCTCGGCGCTGCAAATAGCAGTGCGCTTTCCGGCCACGCACACCGCGGGAGTGAGCGTGGACGGCTACACCCTGACCCTGGCGGCGAACCCCATCGTGCGCACCTACAACTTGACCAAGAGCTCCTCTTCGCCTGCCGGTACCGGCTCGGCACGGCCTTGCGGTGCACATGTCCGAGGCCGACAACGTCTACGACCCCCTGTACGGCAGCTTCGCGGGAGACCAGGCCGCCTGGAGCACGGCCAAGATGTACTTCACCGTGCCGCCAAACGGAGTTGCGAAGCAGGCGCCGGGCCTGCCCAACCAGACGGCAGGAACGGTGGACGTCTACGGCCTCCAGATCCTGGACGCAACCCTGGAGGCCGGCAACACGGAGGAGGAGGACACGGCGGCCTCGGCCCTGCTGCTGAAGCACGAGTTCCTCGACGGAGGGGCCGACGACGTCACGCTGGCCACCCTGGGCGAGGTGCTGCTGGAGC